CAGTAGAAAATTATACCCACTAAGCTGTTCCCAGAATAAAAGTTTATTCCTCTGCAACCTGTGATTCTTTCTCCATAATTCATATAATGATCAAAAGTCATTGCTTTCCTGTCTCGGTGTATTAGCTGGATGGCTGAACGCACAGAGCTCTCACCTGAATCAGCACAGAAGGGAGGCCTGGCGGAGGGGAACAGAAAGGGACTCGAGCTCACACTGAGCCATTCTCATCCGTCAGCCTGTCCACATAAGTACAAGGAAATCAACTCATTTAAACAGCTTGGGAGGCGAAGCTGAGTTATAACGGTGCTCCCGAGCGAGCCCGGTGAAATATGGGCCTGCTCACCGATTCCCATCTATCATATCCCCGCCAAACGCCCGTTAATTGTTTTCATATTTAGATGCTGAGAATCAACCCTAATGAATGTGTGTTGTCGGGTTGTTGGGAGTTTTCTAAAAAGAAAGCAGGATGATTATGGTGTATAGTGAATTATTGTCAGTTCCACGTGCTCTGAGCAGAATCACAGAGGGGCAAGAACGGAAGAGAGGAGGCATCATTCACGTCTCGTTCCAAATCTCCAGTGCAGAAAATAGAACTGCAGCCAGTTAATGAAATACGTCCTTAATACAAGTTTGTGAGGGGCGATATGTCATTAGTCTGAAATGTCTGAAAATGTAGTATTTGTTTACAAACAGAGTATTTGTAAGTCCTTTAGAATATTATAATCCAAAAAATAATCTCGTTCCTTTGTACTTTCTCTTCAGAATAGCAGTAGGTACTGCTTACCAACCTCCCCTCTCCCAACTCTGCCTTCGTCGTAAAAGCTGGGTCCTAGAGTTCCCGGTGCTTGTCACTCTGAGCAATGATTCCTCAGTGCTCATATTCAGAACTAATCAAAACTGTCCCTTCATAACCCCAGAACGAATCTATGTACATAATAAGAAAACCCACAGTTGTAATACCTGGTAGTACGAGTGCATGGGTGTGGCACAAATGTCTGTGTGGGGAAGGGCTAGAAAGAAGGGTGACTCTTAGATTCTAATAATATGTGGCTATAAAAGCAATATGTGTCAAGTTTTCCACCCTTTATTTTTTCACCATCTTAATCTCACATTCGCTTATTGCCTATTATTAATAGAAACTCTCAGTTTCTCACATAAGTATAACCTCAAAGGCTAAAAAGTAGAAGAAATATGAGCAGGATAGAAAAAAAAAGGACTATGTCTAATAAGAGGCTGGTTACAACCCATAGCTAGATGGAGCTTTAGCTCTGGTCTGCACAAACCTTCTGATTTCCTTCATGGTTCCCAGGGACCAGACTGGACACGTGGCTAAACTTGACTACCATCTTTGGGGAACAAAAACCAGATTGAATGGATATTGTAACCCTATCAAAGGTCAACATTTTCTGTACTTCTAGTCATGAAGGAGACTAGGTGGGAAAAGCCTTGTGCTGGGAAGGAGGACACCCGAGTTCCAGACCAGCTCTGACCCTAGGAAGCTGTGTGGTTTGCGGAAGTCATTTCTAGATCTTAGTTATTTCATCTGAAAATCATGAGTCTAGACAAACTATGGTAAGCCTTTTGTCATTATGATACTCCAATTATTCTAAAATCTACAGCATTCACACTATCCTGCTTGTATATCACAGAAATGGTCATTTCCTGGCAGTTACTATAGAGAATCCATAAAAATATCAAGGTGTGGTATAACAATTAACATTTTTTATATATCCCATTAATAAAGAATGTAATGTTTTATTTCCATAATGTCGTCGAAAGCCTAAGAAATCACTCAATGCACCCTCGAGTAATGAACTTAGTATGTACTATTACACTTTAAAGTTTTACCAAATAATTGAAAATATTCAGTGGCCTAAAAATAGGAATGCAAGGCTTCCTTGAGAAACCTCTGTAAAAATACTTATTGATAACTTTCTAAATTATATAAATACATGTAAAACTGTAGGTACATCTATTATGAAAAATAAATCTTTCATCCTAAACCACACCTTTATTTATTTCTAAGGTTTGAAAGATTCTTAGTTGAAAGTTATCATTGGAGATAAATTCATACTGGAATTTGGAGCTAGCATTTTCCATTTATGAATAAAAGTGGCCCGTGGAAGCATTACGACTTTTGTAAATTATGAACAGAAAGCCACGGGGATGGAAACCCACTGATGGTTAAGTAAACACAGAGGGGGAGACGGGCTTTTTAAAGGAACACATAGATTATTGGAGATAATTTTCATGGAAATGGAACCTCTTTCCCAGCAGGCGGTGCTGACATAAATGGCCAGGGACCTGAACACTGTCCTTAGAAGGCCAGCCGGCCCCAGTTATTCAGAGACAAGCTGGCCCCGCCGGTCTCATTCTCTCTTTCCCCTCCTCTGGCGGTAAGCACACAGCTGAGGGGACAAGGTTCAGGCACCTCCTGCCTCTGGATCAGAATGTGCTTCAGGTGTCTCCTGCGACCAGAGCTCCCTCTGTGCCGGGTCCTCCCTAGATCTGCATCCTGCCTGCTTAGACCCCCTTCACTTGTGTTTTGCTCTTGCTGCCTTGGTGGACCTCCCTCTGTGTCAGTATTGCCCTGATAGTAAAATCAGTTGCAGAACAGAAACCTGCAAAATCATGTATCTTATGAATATGGATGAAAAATCCCCAACAAAAGAGCAGAAAACTGATGCAGAAAACATAAGAATTACTCATCGTGACCAAGTGGGATTTGCCCCAGAGATGTAAGTTTGGTTTGACACCTGAAATTCAATTAATACCTATAATACATCATGTTAGAATTTTTAAAAATTCACATGCTCATCTTAATAGACAAAAGCAAAACCCAACACCCTTTCATTTCATGATAAAGACATTCAACAAACTAGGAATAGACTGGACTTCCCTCAATCTGATAAATGACATCTATGAAAAACCAACAGGTAACGTCACACCTAATGCTTTCCTCCTAAGATCAGGAACAGGGCGAGGATGTCCACCTTGGAGACTTTCAATATTATTTACATATTACTGCAATACTATTTCAATACTACTCAACACTTTACTGGAGTTGCTATCCAGAACAATTTGACAAGAAAAAGAAATAAAGGGCATCCAGATTAGAAAATGAAGTGAAACTACTTCTGCTTGTGGATGACATGATCTTACACATAGGAAACCCTAAGAAATCCACTAAAACACCATTAGTACTAATATGTGAGTTGAGCAAAGTTGCATGATACAAGAGCAATGGATAAAAAACTCAATTATGTGTCTATATACCTACAGTGAGCAATCCAAAAATGAAATTAACAAAACAATGCCACAATAGCATCAAAACAACAAATACTTAGGAGCAAATTTAACAAAATATGTGAAAACATACTATGAAAAAAAAACTTTGTTGAAAGAAAATAATGTTCTAAATACATTAAAAGTATCTCAAGTTCATGGATTAGAAGACTTAACATTATTAAGATGCTGTACTTCCCAGACTGAATCAACACAATCCCTATCAGAAACCTAGCTGATTTCTTTATAGAAATAAACAAATTAATTCTGGACCCTTACCTCACACTACATACAAGAAGTTAATTCAAAATGGATCAAAGACTTAATTGTATGAAAAAAATTTAGAAGAAAACACAGAGGTAAATCTTTAAGAATTGAATTCTTAGATATGACCAAAACATGAACAACAAAAGGAAAAATAAATTGGGCTTCCTCAAAATTAAAAATGATTGTGCTTCAAAGAATACCATTAAGAAAGTGAAAAAAGCGTCTACAGAATGGGAGAAAACATGTAAATCTTAGATAAGGGACTTGCATCTAGAATATATAAAGAACTCTAACAACTCAATAACAGAAACACAAATAACCCAATTTTAAAAGGGCCAATGGATCTCCACAGAAGGTATACAGATGGCCAATAAGTATCTGAAAAAAATGATCCACATCATTAGTCACCAGGGAGATATAAATCCAAACCAGAATGAGGTGCCACTTCATACCCACTGTCCCTACTACCTCACTTTCTACAACCTGAGAGGCACTGGCCAATCAGGCGATAATCCCTCTGATAGCCAATCAGAGCTCTTGGATTCTTAAAGAGACAGGAGTTGATTCACAAGACCTGATGGTTCTTTTGGAATCAGGGTTATTTCCTGAACAGATCCACTTCATCCTTTGCTCTTCTCAGACCAGACAGTTTTACTATAACTAGGAGCTAATACAGTTAGTACGTACTGGGAAAACATTTTAAAATTTAAGAGCAGCTAATCTTATAAAATCTCCGATTTGACCACGACAAGAACGTGCTGCGTTAGCTGAACAGCTACCTCGCTGGGAAAGTAAACTAGGTTTCAAATACTCAAAATCATGAGGAAGGTCAGGCAAAGAGTTCTCAGGTATGACACCGAAAGTACAACCCATAAAAGGAAAAACTGGACTTTATAAAAATTAAATGAATGAATTTAGTTAATGAAATTTCAGAAAATCAAGAGATACGACGAAGATTCTGAGAAAGTATCTGCAAGTCATATAGGACTTGTACCTAAAATATATATAGGACTTGTATCTGAAATATATACAGGAATCTCATCATTCAACCTAAAAAGAGAAATAATGCGGCTAAAATATTGGCAAAAAATCTGCATAGACATTACTCCAAAGAAAATGTATGAATGGCCCATAAATGTATGAGAAGATGTTCAATGTCATTAGTTACTGGGACAAATCAAGTAGAAACCACAGTGAAATAACACTGAGGTGAGTATTTTAAGAGTAGCAATAACAAGTGCTGGTGAGGATGCGGAAGAACCACAACCCTTGTTCATCGCTGGCGGGATGTAAGATGATGCAGCCCCTTTGGAAAACAGTCTGGCAGTTCCAGGAAAGGTCACACAGAGACGTACCATATGACCCCGCATTTCCACTCGTAGGTGTATCCCAAAGATAATTCAAAAATAAAGAAAGAAAACCTCACTGTGTGCAACGGCTTTACTTACTCAGGTTCCACTTTAGGCCCGTCGTCGTCACCTGATTGCAAGGCTGTCCAACAGGGATGAGGCCACACCAGTCACCCTCCATTCCCGTGTCTACATGCAATTTGTGCTTTCCCTGGAGTAGAGAAGGGATGTTCATTAACACAGGGAAGAGAAAGGGAGGGACATCAATGGGCACCGAAGACCTGGTCAGAGGCACCAGGTACACCCCTAATCCTGACAACAAATTTAATGCCAGGAGCTTTCACCTGACTTAACCCTAGTGATGATTTTACAAGGTAGCTTCTGTTAATTACCACTTTTACATGAGGAAGCTGAAGCCTGCAGAGATTAAATGTGTCCAGGACCATGCAGAGAAAGGGGGCAGAACAAGGGTTCCTACCCATATCCACCTGCCAGTTCCAGAGACTAAACTGTTCCACACACTAAAGATGTGGCACGATATGATGCAGAATTCTAGGGTCTCACTCAAACACGTGCTCAAGAGTAAATAAAACAGCGGTTCCTAAGTAAAACCTTGGCTTTTTATGAGGACTGGGATCTAAATTCCAGCATTCAAAGTCAATCCTAATAGTAGTTACCCGCTTCCCACACCCACAGACATCTAGGAGCTGCTTGGTGAGAAGTACCTCTCCCAGGAAACTGCAAATCCCTAAAGACCTAGCATGATTCTTGCATTTTGATTATGAAAACTTATGTGATTTAACATGCTTTCAAGCTTTCCATTTATGAGAAAATGAAAGTTAAATGTAATGCTCAATCAAAGCCACAAAGTTTGTTTTTAAATAGAATACTTGGAAACTCCTCTTCTACAAAGTAATAGTTTTCCATTTCTGTTCCATTCATTATGCTTAGGGTACACAGTCTTTATGGAAAAATACCTCAGGTCCTTATGGGAAAATGCTAAGGCATGCGTTCATCCAATAATATAATAAAAAAGTATTTTTCATCACTCATATATCCCAGAAGAAATAAGTTCCAAAGGATACTGCTTATTTTAATAAAATAAAATTTTAAAGTAGGTGTAATTATGACCTGTTACCAGACTAAGGTATCTAAGTCTCCTTTTACAGTCACTTTACTTCTATTCCAACAATGCCTTTTGAACTCTATTATAAGCTTCCAGGAACTTTATTTTGCTATCTATAAGGCCTCACGTATGACCAGGCTCTCTTGTCTTAATCAAAGGATTGCTGTTATTGGGGGAAGAATCCTCTAGATTTCATATCAGTCCTTGAAATTTAATACAAGTTCATCTGGATCTTTACCACTATATAATTCATATACAAAATGTATGTTTTGAACATTCAATCAGAGGGCATAAACTCGATTAAAAGAGCTTAAATATATTCAAATGCAAAAAAATTTATTTATTTATTTATTTAAATATATCTTTATTGATTTCAGAGAGAGGGAAGGCGAGGGAGAGAGAGAGATAGAAACATCAATGATGAGAGAGTCATTGGGGATTGAGCCCGCAATCCCGGCATGTGCCCTGACCGGGAATCGAATCCCGATCGCCTGGATCCTAGGTCGACGCTCAACTGCTGAGCCACGCCCGGCCGGGCGCAAAAAGAATTTAAAAGAATATAAAATACATTTGAATTTGGCATTCATCGTTGGGAGAAAAGAGGCAGCCCCTTGTGGATGTTCACCAAGCAGTGGATTAGACATGCACAGAGAATGTGGGGAGCTGGAGATACAATGAGTCGTGAAAGCACAATGTGTAGAAGGAAACTGAATCGGGGTAAGTTACATAACCCATCTGTGTAGATTAAAATAAATTCAAACACAAGACACTTTTTCTAGTAACAAAATTTAAACAATATTATCTATACACACCGACATGCCTGTCTGCGGGAAGGGTGGGGAGAAGGGGGTGCGGCACAGGGACAAGAGGGAAGCGACTGGCCAGCTGCTGAGCAGCCTTGCCCGGGACCAGAGAGGACAACCGGCCAAGAACAGATGAGTACTGGGGACTCAACACTGGGGTCGTCTGCGAAAAACAGCAAACATGCTTTCCAGATGCCAAGCGATACGAGACAGAAATTCTCAGGCTCTTCTGAAGAAATAACTATTCTAATAATTCTAAACAGCAATTGAAGGAAGAGGAATAACACAGATGCTAAATAAGATGTAAACTGTGACCCACAGATGCCAACTGTAACGCACCCTAACAGACTCCGAGAGCGGGCACGAAGCCTCCTCTGTAACAAGGGGAGCTGATGGGAGGGGGTGTTGCAGGTCTGATTCCCTCTGGCTCCAGCAGCAAAGGAGGACGCGGTGGGGAGATCCCAGCTGCTGAGGGCTGTACTCCCAGGGCCCCTTCAGGAAGCATGGCACGTGCTTCCAGGGCACCGGAGGGCAGAGAAGATTAAGATGGGAGGGACTGCGTACCTGGCCCAGGTGGCTCTACCTGTCCCAGGTAACAGTGTCTCTGACAATGAGACTTGCTGCTGAGACTGGGACTTCATTAGTTATCAAAGAGGGACTCACGTGTCCTTGGGCTGTTCTGTTTTCAATGTGTTACAGTTAATTCCCACCTTCTAACGAAGCCTTTGCGTGATGCTTGGTGGTGGTCAGCTGAACACACCAGTAGGCGCAGTGCTCCAGCTAACCTCAGGAAAGACTGCTGAAGGAAACAAGGAGTAACGTCTCGGCTCGTGGGTCCTAAGTCCCTAAGAGAAGAATCCTCAGCTTGCATCAGATAATGCAAAGGAAGCAGCCCATGGACACGTCACGTGTTATTACTCCAGGGAGAGGACGGCTGCTGCGCAACCCACCGCTTGAACACACAGCCCAGCAATGCATTCACTGCCTTCTTCATTAGTCTAAGGTGCAACACACCTTGAAAATTTTAATCTGAGAATAAACTAGCCTACATTTTTTTCTTTTGTTCCAAAAGGATATGTAGTCACATGTGCATGGTCTTTGTTTACAGATGTGCACTTAGTTTCGGGTGGTTAAAGGACAGCAATCCTGTGCTCTTCTCCTATAGCCTCAAGTCTATGGGACACCTTTCAAAATGAACAGCAAAAGGGATTATTACCCCCTCCCCTGGTTTCCTGATACATAATATACACTCCTGCCTGTGTGTGACTTGACACAGGCAGGCACACAGCCTGGCATTAAAGAACCTCCCGGAGATTTATGCCATTACTGGGACCAGGGCACCTGACTAATCGCTGACTCCCACCTGCGCTCATGAATTAGCACCAGGTTCCTGCTCTGCCCCTGTTCTGAGCCTCTGAGGGCAAACGCACTTCCATCCAGTGGCAACGGAGCAAAATCAATCAGACACTATGCTTTTCCAGTCCTGGTTATTTTTAACATGTTAACTACTTCAAAAAGGTCCTGTAATTTAGTGAAAGGGAGCAAAGATGCTGCTTTACTCCTACTCTAGAGATAGGTGAGTTAAAGACAGGCAGCGTCGGGCACATGGAGTCACTTTCCCTAGACTGTAGAGCAAACGACACACACATAGGGCATAAGGAATCGCTGTGGCTTTGCCTGTATTTACCTCCTCTTTGCAAATGATGGGGACGAGTCTCAGAGAAAAGATAAGTTTGCCCTGGATTTTGTTTCGCAAAAATACCAAAGATGGCATCTAAATCCTGTTTACATCTCTGAATCCTTAAATCCAATAACTATGCCGAGTTTTATCCAAGTTATCTCAGTGTGAATGCCGGAAAATACACAGCAATTTAACAAGATTGCTCACAAAGCAACTGAACACAGGACGTACTTTCTACTCAGTGTCAGAGATTCCAGGAGCAGACGGTGGTGCCAGTTTATAAAGTGGACAAGCGCTCACCAGATCGCTGTTGAGGCTGACCTGGTGCCCAGGCTAAGGGCAGCCACGATTTCTGGCACAGGGTAGAGCCAGGGTGAGGGAACGCAAAGCAGGCCTCAGGCCCTTGAGCATTTACCCACACATACGGCAGGGAATTCAGCAGCCCGCAGGAAAGACGAGTGAAAGCAGCAGAAGGTCCACACTGCATTACCTGGAGGAGCCGCCTGCCCCACACAAAAACGGACGTCTGTGCTGGTGTTTCCATGTGTGACCCTCAAGTGGCCGAACGCAGTCACGAGAGAAATGGTCTCCATGGAACTTGGAGATGCAGAATCTCAGAACTAGAAGAATGTGTGTATTTTCTTTTATTCTGCTGCATAAATGTGATTGCTACTGGGAAGGGGGTGGGGGAGGAAGGAGAGGGTAGAGGGGGGATAAATGGTGATAGAAGGAGACTTAACTTGGGGTTGGGAACACACAATACAATACGCAGATGATGTGTTATAGAATTGCACACCTGAGACCTGTATGGTTTATTAACGATGTCACCCCAATAAATTCAAAGACAATAAAATTAAAAATATTTTTCAACAACAAAAAACACACACAAGTAAATTGTTTTATTCAAAAGAGCCTATACTGAGTCAATGTTACATGGAAATTTACTTATCTATTTCTTTCGTTAACTTAGAATACATCCTTCTAAAAATGCAATATTCATGTATAGCTTTTAGAGTTTCAAATCATGTCAGAACCACATTTTTCAAAGTGCCTCCCACAGAACACTGTTTCTTAGATTACTTCTCAGATTCTCCTCTGAAGTCACCGTGCACGTGACCAGCATGTGAGATGTTCTAGGTCGTGTCGCAGCAAAAACCATCCACCTGAGCGAGTGTTCCCCACACTTACCTGACTACAGATCCCTGCCTACCCCTCAAACAACACCTGTCATTACCCATGGAATCTGCATTCATTAAATCCACCTACAACAGTACTGCCTTAGAATACTAATCTTGCTCACAGCATGTGAAACTATGATGTTTTAGCCCTGGCCGGGTGGCTCCATTGGTTGGAGCATCATCTCCCTCACACCAAAAGGTTGTGGGTTCGATTCTCGGTAAGGGGACATATGGGAGGCAGCCGATCGATGTTTCTCTCTCACATCGATGTTTCTCTCTCTCTCTCTCTCTCTCTCTCTAAAAAAATCAATAAAAACATCCTGGGGTAAGGATTGAAAAAAAAACTAGGATGTTTTGGTTTACTATTTCCACAGCCAGAACACAATGACATGTTCTGAAATTAGTAACTTCCAGCTGATTTAC